GTTAACTTCAACAATACCCTGTGACTGCAGTTCAATTACTCACTGACTATCACACATTACATTCCCCTCTTTTATATACCAGCGTACCCCATTTCTAGTAAGAACTTGAACATTCGCCAAAGTACATGATAGTTCTAGAAACGTTGCGTCACGATAGTCATGTGACTGCTGACGCAACAATATATATATTGTGTGTGTGTGTGGATAGCAAACTGATAAAGCAACAACAGCTTTAAATATAGAACACATTTATTAGCATCTTTTATTTTCACTTACGACTGTATGGTATTCAAATGATAAATTTACTTTTAAAAATATAATTTTTCTTTCTTGTTCTTCTATTTACTTCAAACACAACATTTGTTGCCACACTTCCATCTTTTGAATAACTTAGTTTTATGAAGTTTATGAAAGACTACAATCCTGTCAACATATTGGCCAATAATGCCTGATTTCCTATGGGAAAACAAGAGGAGTAATTGGTAAGATGTTATGTAACAATGGTCCCAAAAGATATTAACATAAAAGTTATTTTGACACAATCAGTTGACAATTATTAACAAGTCATTATCAGCAGTCAATTCTAAAAATATCTAACATATTCTAGAAATATTCTATACTAGCTGGAGTAACCGTCCACTTGATGGAAGTTATGTAAATTCATGATTAATGAAAGGTTATCTTAGGACATGAAAAGTTGCTTCCCTTATTTGTAATTATAAAAAAATCCATAAATACTGCAGAACACAAAATGTGAAACTATAATTTTGTATGTATCTTTGCATGGACCCAAAAAACCTTCATGCCACATTTGGTGAAGATCTATCAACAAAGGGGGAAGTAGTTGTAAAATACACAAAAACAGCCATGCAAAATGCAAAACTGAAAATTTCAAATTTGATGATGAGGAACCCACTTTCAGACTAATAATGGCTGGAGACGGCTTGAATGATGACCTGATGATGACAAAACCTTGTTGAAACGTTGTACATTTGCTGTTATGTTAAACTTATATTAAAGTTTTTCTTCATTACCCATTCAAGCCGTCTCCAGCCATTATTAAACTGAAAATTTGTATGTACCCCTGCATGGAGCTAAAGAACCTCCATAGCAATTTTGATGAAGATTCATCCACACCTTGCAAAGTAGTTACATGGACATATAGATAGTATTATTATATTTATATAGAGTATATAGTTCACCTTAAACTTCAAAACATGGTCTAATAAGAATACTGATATTAAATTTATATCTGATTATGTTGAGGGTTTGAATATTGGCAAATAACAAAATTTAATGAAAAATAATAATAATCTTACTACTTTTCCTCATAAATAAGAAATTGCACTGCATTTTCTATTAGGATTTACTGAACAAAGCAGTTTTAGTTCAAACCCTATGATGCACCTTCAAATACTTATTACAGTCAGATTTTCACTGATTATTTTCATGATTGATGGAACACTAATCTAGGCAATTTATAGTTTAAAAAAATAAAAATATATGTAACACGACACAGTTGGATTCAATGCTTGTTTGTTTGTAATTAAGCACAAAGCTACACAATTGGCTATCTTTGCTCTGCCCACCACAGGTATCGAAACTCAGTTTATAGCATTGTAAGTTCGCAGACATACCGCTGTGCCACTGGGGGCCACTATTCAATGCTCAAATCCAATTAATGTTCATAACAATTATATTTGTTTTGTTTTTTGTTTTTTTCCACTGATAATGCTACAAATATTAACATAAAAAATTATACTACATGTTCATACCTGATTTGCTTCCCTGATTAGTTTACGAGGTTGAGATTCTTCTGTTTCAGATACTTTATTAACCTTCCTTTTTTTGGCTATACTGAGAACCAACCCTCCATTGTTTTTTTATTTAGAATGTCAAGCCATGTTTCCATGAATCCTACATAATGATGATAAAAAATGAGATCTTGTTAATCTTTAAATGACCCATGCTTTTAAAAACAGTATTTTGAGCTTAAAACAATATTTAAAATTATTCAGTGCCTAGGTTTAAACTATTTTAAAGCATTACCACATACTAGGGGTCAAAAATGATTCACAGTGATATTTCAAAATCATAAAATATTACTAAAACTTAACAGAAAATACTGATAAAATGACTGGAAGGATAAGAAAAATGGTACCTACATATCCACTACCTTGTAAATCTTTCATATGAGGATAAGCTGATATTAGTGTCAATGACACAGTTTGATATAATCTTCCAAGATGCCTTCAAGATATTTCAATTAGTTTGGTGGGCTAATCAGAAAATGCTTTCAAATACCTTTTTTATGCAACATATATATAAAACAAAATGACTAACAGTTTATACTTAACAC